CCCCGCCAAGACCGATTAATCCCTTAACACCAGTCGACCATCGAGCTACCGTCGAACGATTTTTACAACCTTGATATTTATTTTATTTTATTTTTTATTCTAATGTTATTAATTTAATGTAGTTATAGTGAAAATTTTAAAATTTGAAATTTAAAATAGAGAATCGACAAGTGGTCTGACATTAATTAGGAGTCCTAATAAGGTGACAAAAAAAAAAAAAAAAAAAAAAAACTACTCTTTTATTAGTATATATATACTAAGGAGATGGGGGAGCTATGGATCGATTTTTATTAAAAAAGTTAATACATAGACTTTTGTACTCTATGGATCTTCATCGAGTATTTTGTTTCCATTGTAAGTTGTTCAAGATGAAACCACAACTAAGTAATCTGGCATATGACGAGATGATCAATTATATCTTCATCTTGCTCACAGTTTCAAGATGCATGAAAATAATGCAAGGCGTATCCATTATATTTTTCTTTTGGAAAGTTGCTTATAAGAGTTTCAATTTATTATTTGTGAGTGAAAACCCAGGGATTTTGCGACATGGTTGTCAACTTGTTATTAGCTTTGAATTATGAATTTAGTAAATATGGAATTAACTTTAATAATATTTTTATAATAAAAAATTTATGGGGCTTTAATTTGACTTTCCTACGAGACCTTCAAAATATTAGCACCGGATCTGTTGACAATACTAATTCAAATGTACTAATTTTGTAAAAAGTCATTATTTTATTAATACGTTGTCATAAAGTTACAATTGTTAGCGTAACGAGCTTTTTTTTGGTATGAAATGTTTAAAACGGCTGTAGATAGTGCAAATTTGTGTTTTTTTTAAAAGTCAAACTTTTTAGATGCAAAAAGATTTTTACAAATTAATTTGTGAAGAAAATTGGCACATACGCATCACATCATGCCGTTAGTTTATATAATAATAATTTAAATGATTTTTAAATAGATAGGAACTAACTAACGATAGTCATTTATTATTATTTTCTACCGACATATAACATTACAATTTCAAAGAAAATGAGTGAAATTGGTTGAATTTTATTATGAAAAAGAAAACATTTCAATTAATAACCTACTCTTATTATGTCGCTATCATCCGTCTGTTTGCACCTTTGTCCTTTTCACATTTTTTAAATTTGATCCCAATACAAATTTATCCACGTACAACATTAATTACATGTCAATCACTACAAATATTAAATATCAAATGTCAATCAAACTTAATGATTTCTTAACTAACACTCTGGAATAAATTACAGTTTTGGTCCCTGTGTTAGGATTATTTGGCGGTTTTGGTCCAAGTTTTATAATTTTGATACGGGTAGTCTTTAGGATTTAAGAACTCATCATGTTTGGTTTATTTGTTTCTTACCATTAATCCTTCTTTGTTAAACATTGTAAAATGACAATTTTACCCTTATTAGGAAGAATGGTGATAGAGGCGGAAATGAAAATGGTAAAAAAGAATATAGATATTTCATTGTATACATGAACAAATCATATTTTGGCCCTTTTAGTTTATAGTTTTTCTTTTTAAATTTCGATTGATGGTAATTTTATTATTTTACTAGACCAATACTGTAATTTATTTAAAAAAAACAGCATCAAACTACGGAAATTTATATA